GCAGACTGTTCGAGGAACTTCTCTTAAGGAAAAGTCACCTAAGAAAATCAGCCCTTTCCCACTGTATCTCTGTGTCTTTGTACACCTCTCCTTTTCCCTACACTGCCTTTTTTTTTTTTTTGTTCTTTGCTTTTCCCTGAAGAAAATAGCAATAAAATATTCTATTTTCATATGGCTCTACAGATGATCTCTGTGTACTTTACCAGACCACAGCATGGAAAACAAAGCCTTGCTTATTGCCTAACAGAATATATGTATTATGATTTATGTAGTTGTAATACATGGGGCTGATAATAGACAGGAAGATCAAAGTCTTCTGTGAATTGACAGCAGCACTGTAAACATGGTGAAAGGGTTGCAGGTGCTTCCCACGTGGATTGTCTACAAAAACATATGGCCCTTTCCCATAAGGTACTGTATGTGCTCTCCACCTTTTCCTGTGCAACAGGGCAACGTTGCTGGGAGCTTTGCTCAGAGAGCATGGCCATGGCTCAGGAGCTGGGAGATGCTGTCAGCAGCAGATGACCATGCAGTGTGACCAGGATGATCTTGGGAGCATGGGAAGGCTAATGCTAAATTGGTCTTTCAATTTAAAAGTAGCTGGTTAATCCTCTGTGTCATCTGAGAATAGAAATCTGCATTCTGGGGAGGGGGGGTCCCCTGTCAAAGATTGGGAAGGAAGATGATGGGCTTAAGTGTTTCAGGAGAGACTGGGCAGTCCAACATGCCCCTTGTCTCAGTGCTCCCACTGAGGCTCAGAGTTGGGCATGGTAGGCATCTCTTACCTTCACGGGTTATCTTCTGTGGCTGTGGCAGGCACTAGGTGTGGAGTTGAGACACCTAGGCCACATCTCTGCAGAAAGTAATGATGGTGCATGAGCAAACCTGCAGATATCATTGCTGGCTTGCTGTTTATTCTTGTGGATAAAAGAAAAGATGTGTTTAGTGAATAACTAAATCATTGTATAGAGGACTGCAACATCCTGGGTGAAACCTGAACACAAAGTCATTTCTGTTTTTCTCATTAATTGCCTTAAGAGGGGTACTTATCTGCTCTTAGGAATGAAGCTGCTGCAGCTGGGTGTAGTGGGCGTTTGTAGCCTCTTCAATTATTGAAACACTTCGGATGAAGTTTGGCTTATTTTTGTTCAATGCCCTGTGACATAACCACCTCCTTGACCTGTGAGACCTTTGGCAATCTTTGCTTTTTTCACAGTTTCTGGGAATATACCCATGTCTTCTGCTGAAAGCTTGTGAAAGCCCTTTTGCCTGGCCATCCTGGGGATGATGGGGCACAAGGGTGCTGGTTTGTGCGCTGGCAGCCTGTGGGGACAATGGCTTCTCATCCACATATTCATCTGCTGGAGGAAGCTCACACTGTACTTGTGCTGTTGATGTAATAGTACCCTCACCTTCCAATGGTGTTAAAACTACTGGTCTAAAATGTGAATTTCTTTTGCTGGAGGGCTGCAGCTTAAAATGAAATATAATAGAAATTGCCCCAGCAGCATAACTTAATTAACCAATTCCTCATCTGCACAGGAAAATTTGTCTGAATGTGTAGGTCATGAAAATTATTTTTGCCGGTGTGGCAGTGTTACAACTGATTTCCACGTGGACAGAGGTGCATTGCCCTAAGGGTGTTATGCTACATACATGAATTCTTGCTTGTCTGTAGGAGTGGGCTAAGTATTCCCAAGTATTTGCTTTACACCCTGACAGCCCTAGGTGAAAACATTCTAAAGTGCTGGGTCAAGCAGTGTAGTGGTACTGTAGCTACAGGTAGAACTTGTGTGTGTGAATGAGCCCTGTGGAAAGATTAACCTAGGAAAAGTTAATAAAAAGTGCTGTCCTAAATTATTCATGAATCCATTTGCAATGTACTTGCCCAGAGGCTTTTGTTTTTCTCAAACTCTTATTTATTAAAATCTGACAAGAATATCAGGTTTTGTTCAATAATAAATCTAAATCTACGTGAGACTAGTGAGATCTTCATCCAGTAATACAGAATCAAAATGAAGTTACACAGCAGGGGTGAATATGTTATTTACTTTGGAAGAATAGATTATTGTTCAGGAGGTTTTTATCTTTTACTTGCTATTTTGAAATAAGTGAAAAAAAACCCAAAACACCTAGTTGGGAGATAGCCTCTTGTTTTGTGACTGAGGCCTTGATCCTGCAAAGGATTTAAAATATATTAAAACTCAGTTAAGCATCTTTCTGGCAGCTTTTCAGGTTCCAAACCTGTGTTTGCTGAATTAAATACCTCAGGTGATCTTGTTTTGTGCTTAGTTCTACTTGTCCTTTTTCCTTAACTTCAGGGAAAGACCATGGAAGTCATGCTTTTGGCTTACAGATTTGACTGCCAAAGTATGTCCATACACCGCGTCATCTTTTTGTGCCCTAGAAAAGGTTAGGAAGATTGTATACATGGAAATGGAAAAAAAGGCAGGAAGAGAGCTTTTGCTGTTTGGGATCTAATAATGTGTGTGCTTTATAGCAGTCATTCCTTAAAAAAAGGTAGAATTTTGTTTAAAAAGCAATTTGAATAGTTAATTATGTTGGTTTTTTTCCCCCCAGCATTTTCGATTTATTAGTTGTAGGTGGTTTTTTCCCCCTTCTTCTCCTTCTCTGTCCTAATTTATAACTGCATAAAGAAAGAAGAAGCAGGTGCCTAATAGCTAGAAATTTTGAGAAGAGTAAATAAAAAAGAAAGAGCTTAGCTGTGGAAACAGAACTAGGAGTTGGGGTGACTGGTTTGAGTTGGAGGATAATGAATAGATTTGTTTGCATAAGCTTGGCTTCTGAGTCACTTTTTCATAAAAACAGCTTTAATAGGTGATGCTTCCGTCCCAAATTTTTAGTCCTGAATGCTTTGAAGCACAAAGAGCACTGTAACGTAAAGATTCTTGCTGTGAGTACTGTCCTGTTATCCCAGTGGACAGGAGCGGGAACTTTGCTGGAGCTTTGCAATTTTCCAGGTTTGAAATAAATCAGATTGTGTCTCAGGTTTGAAACAAACCAAATTGTGTCTCTTACACACATGTGCTTTGCCTGATACATCATGTGGTGTCCCTTGCTGGTTAGAGTTAAGCTGTCTGGGAAGACCTAACCAGCTTCTGATTCAGATTTGGAATCTGGTGTCAGGAAGTTGGTCCCTATGAAAAGCTGTTTGTTGTAGGATCATCAGCCTGTAACCAATAAATGTGACAAGGAACTTGCTAAACTTGGAGGGAGGAAAAGAAAAGTGAGGAGTGAGCATGAGAGGTCAGTATTGGTGGCTGGTCATTCTGGGTAGGTTCAGAGGAGCACGTCTTTGCCTTGAGAGCTTGTGTTGCCTCTGATGCCAGAAAAACTGTACAAAGTACATGCAAAAGTTGCATGTAAGGCATTATCCTCTTCTGCTAAAGTCTGTGATCAAAATCCTCTTTAATCTGAGGCATCAGCTCCTTTTTTATGCACCTATGAGATTTCTGAATAAAAGTTTGACCATTAGAGACAGCTACTTTTGCTGTGGTTGAGCAAACTGGGAGGGGTGAAAAAGGTTTACCTTCATAGACCACAGCACCCATGTCTAATGTTCCAGTAGAGTCTGCGGGTTGCATGTGGAAAATAAAAGTTCCCTCTGGAAACCCACAAGAGAAGAAATGATGATGTCTACCTTCCTGAAGACCATTATATTCTTGTTCTTGTCTGCCATTTGTTTGTTAAAAGTTTTGGTGGTAGGGAGGTCAAACTGGACTGTGAAACCTTGCTTTGGAATCAAGATATTTATCTGATTTGTTTGCCCTTGAAGAAATCAGGCTGCTGCAGCTTCATTGCCATGGGAACCCCTAGTTACTATATTTAAATTCAGCCCAGGGTTTGCTTGTCTGTTTAGTTGCTGCAGTGTAGACAGGTGATAAGCAATATATCAATACTGAGCTACATCATACCAAAATGATTAGGCATGGATATTATTGTGGTATTGCTCTTGTGTTCTGCTATGAGGTGCCTGTCTCTCCTGTGCCTGCCTCCAACCTCTTCTTCCTCTCTCCTGGTGGAGAAAAGACAGCACTGCCTGAATAGTCTTTCTGGTTCAGCAATCAACAAAGGTAGGGACTGCGAGCAACCTCTGCTTGCTGGTTGTGCTTCTTCCTCCCCCAGCAGAGCAGCCAACCATCGAGTGTCAGTGGGCCTTAGAAGAAATGGTACTGGAGAAGGGAGCTCTGCACTCCTACAAGTTGTAGGGTTGGGATGGATCCCTGTGCCTCTGCAGCATCCACAATGGTGTGAAGACCCAGAAGGACAGCCCTGGCTCCACAAGGTCATATTAAAATGGGAGCAGGGAGATAAAAGGTGTACAGGCAGAGGCCCTCCTATCACCTATTCTTCTTCTGAAGTTTTACTAATTCCCTTAGACTTGGTAAAGCTTTTTTTCCCTCTTTTTTCCCCCCCCTCCCCATTAGTATAACATAAGGTTTGTCCATGGCAATGCAGAGCCGGAGATGCACTCAGTTCCAGTGCTAATAGAAGGGGTGAAAGTGTGCTTTACTGCAGTCATGCTGGGGGGACTTCTGGAAAGACTCATTAGAGGCAGGGCATAGCCATGAAAAGACATTTCATGTGGCTGATGGCATAAAATTCAAGTTTTTAGGTCTTTCATTATTGTTTCAGTTGGTTTCTAATGTTTTACTCCTCTGTAGTTTGATTTAGTTATACTACATCACTTTGCACAGAATTCAGAGTGAGCATAGATTGTGTAAACCTTTATGTTAAAGTGTTGGCTGAGTATTGATTAGTCAGTAAAATATTTTAAGCTGTTTCCTTTAAATTCCAAGACCATGTATCTTAATTTAACAGTTGGGAGGGCTGGGGAAAGATACTGCTTTACCTAAGGGAATACATTTTCTGTGATGTTTGTTCACTGCAAGTATATTCAAGCAAAAAGAGATATTTTAGAGAAGGAGATAGTTCTATGTGGTCACCATCTGCTAAAATGATTCTTTATTTCTTTCTAGGTATTATATTGGTCGCCAGATGTTTGTGGTGGTCTCCTCACCAGAGATGATCAAGCAAATCTTAGTAACAAATTTTAGTAACTTCACCAACAGAATGGTAAGTACGTATAAGAGTTGGCTTTGTGGATGGAGTTGTTAGTTGTTAAGTGGTTACAAGGAAGCCAGAAATAGAGAGAGGCAAAATTACAACATGGTTCAATAAGACCTTAAGCTATATACATTCAATATATACATTCAGTCAAAAGCTCTTGTTACCCGAACACTTTCAAGATGAAAGGGAATTCCCTTAGAAAACACACACTGTCCTTGTGACTGAAACACCAGATGGATATTGAAGAGAGGGTTTCAATATCCATTTTTGCCACAGACTTCCTGTGAAATCTTGGGAAAATCACTTACTAGGTCTCTTCCTCAGTTCTCAGTCTGTAACATGGAGATGGTATTATTTGCTTTCTCTCACATATGGTCTGTTTTATGCTTTTAGACTTCACAGGGCAGGAGCAGTCTGCTTGGGACAAGGACATGCCTCCCACAGTTATTGTATATTAGTCATACCTGAAAATAATAAATAGCAAAGAAGGAAGTTGGAGTTAGCAAGAATTTGTACGTATGCTCTTGGTTACACTCACCTTGGAAAGCTCATTTTCAGGAGGTGGTTAGAACAAATAATGAGGGTGAATGGCCAGAGTTCCAGCAGTTGCTCAGCATTTTACAAGGAAATATTGTCACTGCATGCTGCCTTGGTCCCATCCATTCCCTGCTTCCCTCTGGGCCCTTTGTATGCTCAAACCTGCTCAAACAAACTCACATGTATTCAGAAGGGTTGTTTGTGCCCTTGGGGAACATTTTTTCCTCTGATCAGCTGTCTGTCTTCTCTGTCCCTCTGATCCTCTCTGTGACCAGTCAGTTTGCAGACTGCTTGTCTCCTTTGCTTGCTTCTTTTGGTACACGAGTTTCATCTCGTGATTACCTATCTTACTTAATAACTAGTGGTACCTTCTGCCCATAGCTCACACTTAAAAGAAAGAATCTATTTTTAGACTTCTTAGGCTGAAGTTGTTATATGTGACAAGGGGCTTTTCCCCATTTTCTCTATACTTGACAAAATTTTCCACCCCAAGCACGATCCCTATTTCTTCCTGTTTATAACTTTCCCATGCTTTTCTTCTTTATATTTGGTAGTAGTAGACTGTACCCACTATGCCTAGCAGTATCTGGTGATCAAGTAACACTTTCCTGAAGTTAGAAAGCTTTCTGTTGAGAGGACAGTCAGAGATTTGTTCTGTTCTTAACTTTAGTTTAATTATTCAGCCTGGTCATTTGGATATATCTTTCTCTGTATTGTCACACTTCTCAGCTGGTGAAATTTTTTTTCCTCTCCAGGCCTTTTGCATTCAGAGGTTTCTCTGTCTTTCTTGTGTTTGTATGTCCATCTGTCATGGTCTGTCTGTAACATCTGTGTTCCTCTCTAAAATTCCGGTAGGTTATATCACAATAGGCCCTCTCTCCCTCTCTCTCCTTTGCTTGTTCTTCGTTAAAGATCTGTTAGGTAGAGCTGTCTATGCAGGTTCACATCTTGCCCTTATCACTTGACTGTTCCCTGAATCATTTGTGGCTTTTCTGTACAACATTCTGTTTATTGATGAGGAACTGAGACATAGACGGAGTGACATCCCTGCCACTAACCAGAAAGCCTATGACAGATGAGAAAATTCAACTCCTAGCCCTCCCTTTAGCAAAATTAGCAGTCTCTCCCCTGTGCAGGGTTGCTATTTCTGTCTTGCTTAATGCCCATGAGTTTAAATCAAATGAACTTCCTTAATCTTATATGCTCTCATCTGCTTGTTCTAGGGTCGTCTCACATAGCCACAATCTTTGATCATTTCTCACTTTCCATTTTGTTCTCCCCTCTTCCAGCCACTGCTTTTAATTTTTTTATTGAAGATAAGCAGCCTTCTGTTTCTGGGTCTTTTCATAGCTAACCTGGGGATCTTTTCTCCTCTGGAGTTTTCCTCTTTAATTTGCAGTCAGCTGTCTTGGGGAAGTATTTGGTTATCCTGTACACTAGTAATCCTACATGAATATAAATAATGCTGGATGGTACATAAGGAAGGCCAGTGGAATTTATTCAGATGTGATTTGGGTTGTATGCAAATAATGACTGAAAGGTGAGAGTGAGAAAAGTACTTTCTAAGTAATAGAATTCTTTCTTATCACATTGACTGAATAAATGTCATTTTAAGACTTTTAATAGGGTTGCTCTGTCTGTATATTTTTAAATTAGTCAAAGCAAGCTCCTCTACTTTGAGTGAAGGTTTCTATTTGCTAGTGGAGAATTCAAAATGCTAAAAAGATCTGCCTGCTTTATTTTACGAATTCCTTCCCCAGTGAAGAGTGGTTATAGAACTGACTTTGGAGTCAGTGCTGTTCACAAAACCAGGCTAATATATTCCAGTCCAGACATAGCATGTGCTTATTATTTCAACCCAAAGTCTTTTTTTAGTTTAAGAGTATCAGCCTTTTAGGCTGAGAGGATGTGAAAGGTGGTGAGACCATTGGGTTTGAACAGGTCTTAGGAAAACATACTTGTGCTTTTCTTTTCTGACTTCCCCATATGCATTTCCAAAATCGAGATTTGTTCTTCATCCACCAGAGTTCTCTAACCTAGAATGCCTCAAAAAGAGATTATTCTCTGTAGCAGTTGTAGCAACTGTATGTTAACAAATTGTCACTAAGTGCAGGACTAACACTAAAATTTAAGTGTAGAAAAAGTTTATATTCCGTGTTTATTTTTCCACTTTTTCAATTAATTATAAAATATGTACGTAGTTGATTAAGAGACAATGAGAAATTAAACTTATGAAGGGTTGAAAACAGTGAATGTATTGGTAGAAGCCAGTGAGATGATGATTCAGTGAATTCTGACAGCTTTGATTAAAGCTGTCTGTAATGTGATGTCATGCCTTTGAGTGCTCGTAAGCAGGATGACCTTAATCTGGGATTGTGCATTTGTGGACTCACTTCTGGGAAGTCATCAGAAGGAAGAAGGGTGGTTTTAATCTGCTGAGAGGATTCTTTTGGAAGCATCTTGTGTCCTGTCTCTGTATCTGGAAAGACCTAGACCATTTGTGCACTTCTCACACATTGAACTTGTCTGCTCACTCACTATATAGACAAACTAGATCTTTCATGTGAACACAAGCTAAACTACTCTTCATTTCATGTTTCCCTTTGATACTCTATATTTCACATCTTTACTATGGCTATCTTTTGAAGATTGCTGTAAAAAGTCTTTTATATTGCCCCACCATCTTCTTTTGTTTCTGAATTACTGGTTAATAATTCTTGCAAAAGAAATGTATGGTGACTGCAGATCAAATCTGCATTAAGGTTCACTTCCTTTTAGAACAAGCAACCAAGTCTAGCACACAGGCTGTTACTGCCTTGTAGGCACAAGGTATATGTATTGTTAACTGTATAATCACAGGAAGGCAATAATGACACTCTGCTTTCCCATTAAATTTGGTCTCAATTAGCGTAAGTGTTAGAGCCATTCAAAACCAAAAAATGTCTGCTGTAATATACCTTCATACTTGAGGCATATTAAGCCTTTTTCCCATGTTTTTAATTATAGTTGAAGAAAATATGAAAATTACTTTATATACCTTCTGCCAAAAAATATGGAATTAATTTTAATTTAGGTTAACCATGGAAACCTCAGCCAGCATTTAGGCAGGGCTGTGCTGGTGTAAATGATACCTTTTCCTCACAACTGTGTTGTGTCTTGAATAGAAGCTTCCTTTTAAGAGCACTAAGACCATTTTAAACTTCATTACTGTGTTGCAAGTGAGATAGGATTATGATGTTTATTGCATTTTTCCAGGTGGGATAATGATACATAATCTGTTTTCAGATTGTTTTTAATTTCTGCATTGAAAATGTGTTTTTCAATTAGTACTTGAGAATCATTAAAGAGTATTTTTTAAAATGTAGGAGCAGAATGTTAAGATGGAACAATGTGAAGAGAAACATTACCTGGTACATAATTCAAATAATTCAGATGGCTGTAAAAATATTTCCTAGAAATGTGAATTCAGTGAGCCATCCAAAGGCAAGTACTGGCCTTGGGTTTGCCAGTCTGCTGGAGTCAGTGGTCTGCCAGGATTCACATGGCTATCACAGGTGGAAACTAGTGGTTGATTCAGACCAAATCCTTAAATCTAGCTGCCAACCAGCTAAAGGAGAGTGACATTTTTAAATTGAAAAATCTACACCAATTCCAGTCACTGTAAGAAGACATCTCTGTTTTCTCATCAGAAGCTTTGCTGCTACAGTGGTGCAAATAGTAATGGATTAATAGCAAACAATAATGCAGTAGTAAAAATAAGAATAAAAAAGTACCAGGAGTATAATGTGATACAAAATCCTTGTATCCCTTTTGAAGGAAAATGAGTTGCTTGAGCTTCTTTTCTTTTTGCTTGTCTATTCTTTCTCTTCATCTTTGAATTGATCCACATGCGATCTGATTATTCTTTTCACATGTTACACTAAGCTGTTTCATCATCATCATCTTTATTTTGATAAACCTATAAAGCTTCAGGCTTACCTAAAGCATTAAACAAATAAAATGCAACCACCAAGTAGGAAGGAACCTATTTTCTGCATTTTGTTCAGCTGTGGTCCAGGATGCCTGACATATCCCTGAACTGGCTGTTTTTTCTGATCTCTGCTAGGGGAAATAAAACTGTATGTTACTGTATCAAAAGATCTATCTAAATTTGATACAAGATGCCCTCCAGAGATCCTTTCTAGACTCAACCATCCTGTAATTCTGTGAATTTTTGGTCAGGCCCTCAGTCAGCAGAAATCAACATATTAACTTTAGATGACTCTACACTGACTGATAATGATTATGTGTCTCCAGAGCAGGACTGGGATGTAACAACTGGCTTCAAACAGCTCAGCTCAGGAACTGGCTGGTGTGCATCTGTGTTCTTCGCCTTTTGCAAGTAAAAGATCACTTGCATGTCCTGTGCAAGATCTTTCTTTCTGCCTTGTGCCTTGACTTTTAGAGAACAGGCGTCAGCCTCTCTGATG